AAGCATACTTTTGCTTTCTTTTAAAATAAAACTCTGGCTGCTTAAAACTGTGCTGTCTGTTGATTGAATTATTTCCTTTGGGAGCACAAGAACAAAGGTATTGCCATTTCGCTGGTAACACTACCTCTTCTGGTACAAGTACAAACTCCATTTACACTGGAAATTCTTTTTAAAACAATTTTTTTTTCTCCTGGTTGCACCATGTAGCTTGTGAGATCTTAGATCCCTGACCAGAGATTGAACTCAGCCACAGTAGTGAAAGTGCTGAGCCTTAAACACTAGACAACAGGGAATTTCCTAAAACAATCTTATAAAACAGAGCAAATCTCAGAAACTTGCTCAGCAGACACATTTGCCCTGAGGCAAGTTCCAAGTACCCATATATTTCAGCAACTCAGAAAACATTCCAGCCACTGTCAGTGTCAATAAAGCAGAAGTAAATGTTTTTCTGCAACTCTCTTGCTTTTTCGATGTGGGGATCACAACAAACTGTGGAAAACTCTTCAAGAGATGGGAATACCAGATCACCTTACCTGCCTCCTGAGAAATCTGCATGCAGGTCAAGAAGCAACAGTTAGAACTGGACATGAAACAACAGACTGGTTCTAAATCGGGAAAGGAATACGTCAAGGCTGTATACCATCACCCTGCTTACTTAACTTATATGCAGAGTACCTCATGCGAAATGCTGTGCTGGATGAAGCACAAACTGGAATCAAGATTGCCAGGAGAAATATCAGTAACCTCAGATATGCAGATGATACCACCCTAATGGCAGAAAGCAAAGAAGAACTAAAGAGCCTCTTGATGAAAGTGAAAGAGGAGAGTGAAAAAGTTGGCTTAAAACTCAACATTCAGAAAACTAAGATCACGGCATCTGGTCCCATTACTTCATGGCAAATAGATGGGGAAACAGTGCAAACAGACTTTATTTTCTTGGGCTCCAAAATCACTGCAGATGGTGACTGCAGCCATGAAATTAAAAGACCCTTACTCCTTGGAAGAAAAGTTATGACCAACCTAGACAGCTTATTAACAAACAGAGACATTACTTTGCCAACAAAAATACATCTAGTCAAAGCTATGGTTTTTCCAGTAGTTATGTGTGGATGAGAGAGTTGGACTATAAAGAAAGCTGAACGCTGAAAAATTGATGCTTTGGAACTGTGATATTGGAGAAGACTCTTGAGAGTCCCTTGGACTGCAAGGAGATCCAACCAGTCCATCCTAAAGGAAATCAGTCCTGAATATTCATTGGAAGGACTGATGCTGAAGCTGAAACTCCAATACTTTGGCCACCTGATGCAAAGAGCTGACTCATTTGAAAAGACCCTGATGCTGGGAAAGATTGAAGGCAGGAGGAGAGGGGATGATAAGAGGATGAGATGGTTGGATGGCATCACCGACTCAACAGACACGAGTCTCAGTAAACTCCAGGGGTTGGTGCTGGACAGGGAGGCCTGGAGTGCTGCGGTTCATGGGGTCGCAAAGAGTCAGACACAACTGAGCAACTGAACTGAACTGAACTGTCAGTGTAAATATATGTCAAAGTCATCCAAGACCTTATGCATATTAAGTTTCTTGAGGAATACCTGTGAGGGGCAGCTGAAGCTCTTGCTTCCTTCCAGAATGCCTCTGACAGATTCTGATCCTTTCCACCCCCAGGTGGGACATGGACAGGTATAGTGGCTAAAATAGTGACCATAATGAAGAAGGTTGTATTAATGCTGGCATAGGAAACGATGGCAACTAATTCAATCTCATACCCTTTCCCCCTCTTCCTGAAAATCAAAGGATGGGACTGAAAGTTCCGACCCTCTAATCATAGAGTTGGTTCTCCAGGCAACCAGCCCCTATACTACTTTTAAAAATCACCTTATTAACATAACAAGAGACACCTTTAAAAGTTGTAACAAATACAGCTGAGTTAAAAAGAAAAAAAAAAGAGACACCTTTATCACTCTCAACATTTAGGAAATTCCAAGTTTTAGCCATCTGAATGACCAAATAAATATTTTCCTTATAAATTACAACGTCCCACTTCTCTTCCTCCTCCCAGTATTCACCCCATTCATTCAGGGATGCCTGCATCAAACCCAGGTGAGATGCAAAGTGCTTTGAGAATGCTTTTAGTGGTACCGTGATGACTTTGGCCATAGTGTCTAGAAGTTGGTGACTGACTCCACTGCACAGGACCAAATAATAGCTGAGTCCAGCTCCTGTAGCTTAGAAGCCAAGAACAAATTCTTCCAGCTGGCCACTCATGAGATCACCTTCTGATCATCAAAACCCCACAATAATTCCTTTGGTAAACCCCAGGCTGCTGTTCTCTACAAGAAGCGTTAGGTTGGGAGATTCTGTCATGTCAACAGCCTCTACAAAGTCAATTAGATATTAACAAAGCTCCACTTACCTTCCTTACTCTGGTGAAAACAGCACACAAAGAGGGGGAGATTTTCTTTGGAAGAAATACCAGCGTTCCCATCTATGATCACATTCAAGAATTCAGCTTCTTTTACCTCCTCCGGGAGCTTGTTCTGGATTTGAAGGGTTACTAGCTTATCAGTTCATTCTGTATTTATTCAGTTATTTCCAGAGCACCATGCAGTACATAGCTAATGTTCTCTTTCAATACTGGGTCCAATCCTGTAATATAATGTAAGAGTGCATATTTAATCCTGGTGTTAGTGAGCCTTCTATGTGATAAAATATTCTATCTCCCACAGAAAGTGAGTTTAATGCTACTTTAGATCTTGACACCTTTTGTCAACAACTAATACTCAGGGGCAACAAAATCCTCCAGCTTTGCTGTGGCCTCACTATGTTCTGATATGTTTCCCCAAGTATAGATCTGTTTCCCAAGTATTTTTTTGAAATTTAAGTATAGTTGATTTAGTGTTAATTTCTGCTGCACAGCAAAGCAATTCTGTTATACATATGTGTTTGTATGTATGTGTGTGTGTATGTATAATAATAAGGTCCTACCGTATAGCACAGGGAACTATATTTAATATCCTTTGGCAAACTATAATGGAAAAAAAACATACATTTTTTTAATATCCTGTGGTAAACTATGACATATATTCTTCATATAGTTTATATAATAAACTATACTAAAATATTAGAAATGAAAGAATATATATATCATTATAGATTATAGCTTACCACAGGATATTGAATGTAGTTCCCTGTGTTATACAGTAGGTGCTTATTATTTACCCATTCTATGTATAATAGTTTGCAAATGCCAATCTCCTTGATCTGTCAATCACATTTTCCCAAGTAATTTCTTGACACTGGACCAGTCTGTATTGGCACAGAAATCAACACTACCTCCTTAAACACTACCTCCTTAAACAGAACAGACAGACCAAAAATATTCCATCCAGGCATTTGGAGTACTGGACGAACTTGTACTACTAAAACACAAAACTGGGCATTACATCCCAAGAGTCATGACCCACTTCAGAGCTTGTCAGCTTCTTTGTGAACTGGAATTCAGAAGTGAGGAACCACTGGGTTAGTAAGTAAGCTTCATTTGATATGACTTAGGTTCTTATGATTTAATAGGCCAATGTCCTCCTCATGATGGACATTTTATTCATCCATGGATGTGTAATTTCCTGTGGTTTGTGAGTTTACCTCCTGCTTTGCAACAGAAAAGATTTAAAACTTCCCCATGGATGAAACCCTCAGGATATCTTCCTGTATATCATCAACATTTCTGTTAATTAAAAATTAGCTCTGTCTCAGAAAGTAAGATCTGCATGACTATTCACTGTGCAGGAAAATCAGATACAAATAAATAGGAAAACAATATTTCTGCCAATGAATGCTACATCTGTGAAGAGTCATGTCAACTTTCTTCTTTAAGTGACTACTGCTTTCTTACTGAGAAACTCTGTTGTCTAAAATCAGAGCCTCTGGAAAACCTTGTGCTTTACATTTTATCAGTAAGAATGAAACAATTTCAATTCACCTTCCAGGGATAAAGCTTCAGAAAGGGTGTTTCTGGACAACATTTTAATAAAAACAAGACCATGGGCTTGTTGTCTTAGGGCTGATGTTGATCACTTTAGAAAATTCTGCTCTGCTTTGTCAAAGCAATATTTCATTTGTATTTCATCTAAACTTCACGTCCCCACAATCCTACAACCCTACCTCATTCTTTTGTTCGGTTATATGTCCCATAACGTCTCTGGTATGCAGTGTCCTTCATTATAATTTTATCAAGAGATCTGGCTTTGCTGTACTACAGGTTTATTCCTGGTGGTCTTAGGTTGATGGGGCTTGGACCCTGTCTTGTTCAGCTTCCAGGGTCCAAACACGAAAAATTTTTAAACAGTTGTGTGAAAGAAAAATGCTGCCATATCACTAACAAAGGATGTTGCAGCCATCAATTACTGTAACTACCCCAACTATGCCCCCAGAGGGGAATCACGAAGGAGAAAAGAACAGCATATCGTTTCTAGACAGCCCTAGAAGGACTATAGCTGTAATAGCTAAATTATTGCTCAGTCATGTCCAACTCTTTGCGGTCCCATGGACTTGCAGCCCACCATGTTCCTCTATCGATAGAATTTTCCAGGTAAGAATACTAAAGTGGGGTGCCATTCCCTTCTCCAGGGAATCTTTCCAACCCAAGGATCGAACCCGGTCTCCCACATTGCAGGCAGATTCTCCATGGTCTGAGACACCATGGGAGCCCATTATCAAAGAGATAATTGCAAAGGGCCCACACTCTTGCATTTTCCCATACATAAAAAAGCACTAAATTCATGAACTCCGCCGGTTTTATTACAAAACTCCTGCGTATCCTAGCTCCTCCCTTACCTCTTCAGTAGTCCCTCAGAGAGATCTGAGAGGCTCTCTTCCCATCTTAAGTCCTCAGAAAAGCCACCAAATACAACATAATTCTCAACTGTTAGTTGGTAGTTTTTTCCACTTGACTGTCATATGCATTTGTCATCCCTAAATATACCAGGTAGGTATATTATAGTCTACCATGCCAGTTTCATTATAATTGGGATGAGTTCATATCCCAGAAAGGGTACTGGAACAAGGTTGTCACGGTACGCGGTGGCTTTTACTTCATTTCTTGGAACAGGCTTAGATTTTTTTTTTCCCCTCTTTTTAGTCCCAAACATTTCCTCTGCTAAACTGATGCTTCCATTCCTCATGACTGAGAGGAATAAAAAACTCGAGACACGTTTACTCAGCTGAAGCTGTACAGGTAGACAGCTCTGGCCACGTTGACCAGTATTGTGGAAACTGGGGGAAGGGGACAAGCTGCTGCCCCACCCCCACAATCCGCGGCCTGGATCCAGGACCAGCATACTCCTCTGCTCTCAGCCTCAAACTGAAACCCGAAGCAGGGCGCCCGCCTCGCCTTTAACATTCACCACTTCTTGTCACAAATAGGCACTAGGGCGCGCGGCTTAAAAGGAAACAGTTTCCAAGACACTACACGCTGACGAAACACCTGAGCTCTACAACGGTCTACGGTCGCCATGTTTCTCGCGGGAGCCGGCTTTTACCCGCCTTTCCTCTCAGTGATTGGACGAGTATGAACGGCGTACGGCAGGGGCGTGGCCCCGCAGGGAGAGGCTAAGGAAACTACCGGATGGGGCCAGGACGCCATCTTGGATCCTGGCATCCTCCTCGAGTTGCCCTTCCTCCTGGTGATCGGACGAGCCGGTTAGGTGTCCCGGAAGGGACGTAACCAGCCAACCAGACCTGGGAACGTGCGTTTTCTTTTCCCTTGTTTCAAGGGTGTAACTACATAAAATGCTCTTGCTCATTCCTGGACGACCCTGACGTCGCGATGCAGAAAAGGCTTGCTTGGAGAGTTATCTTGCATTTTAATGGAGCTCCGAAAAACCTGAAAACTGCCTGTGGCTGTTTGGGAAGGCGTCTTAAAATACTTAAAAGGATGCGTTGCCATTTTTCAAAGAGAAAGATGGGGACCACATTCTAGGAAGAAAGGGGGCTGATTACATGAAAAGTCCCGAAACTTGTAACTATTGCGATATTAGGGGTAAAGGAGGCAGAATGCCCAGAGAGAAAAAACCTAGGAAGGGGTTGGGATTAGACTGTGGAGGCCTTGAATTGCTGGGGAGTTAGGACTTTATCCTGTATATTGGGTCAGCGGTCCCGTCTTTTTGGAACCAGCGACCAGTTTCGGGGAAGATAACTGCTCCCCTCCTGCTGTGAGTTCTGGTTGCAGGGAATTGGGGACCCTTGGATTATGTCGTGAAAAATGGACTTTTGGAGTACTTAAAACAAGTGTGACATAATCACTTAGTAACTCTAGAAAAATAACTGGGGAATCCCAGTCTTTCCCAAAGTATTCAGTGAACGACTTGGGGAGCTTGTTTATTAAATGCAAATTCTTGCTCCTCTGCACACCTGCAGATCAAGATTCTCTGACTGTAGAGCTAGGAAATGTGTTTGGGGGAAAGAAATGCACAAATCATAAAGGTAGAGATTTGAATGTTCACAAGCGGAACACACTCGTGTAACCAACATCCAGATGAAACTCACCAGCAGCTCAAAAACCCCGCTTCCCCCTCCAAGCCACTGCTGCCTGCACCAGGGGTAAAAATGACTACTAACATAGATTAGTTTGCCTGATTTGAATTTTCCATAAATGAAATTACAGAGCATATACTTGAGACCTATAAAACAACTAGCCTCTATTTTTAAATGTCAGTAATATGAACGATACAGACAGGTTTATTACAGATTTTAAAAGATCAGACGTAACTAAATGCAGGTTGTAACCCTTCACAAGATTATAAACCCTCAAGACTTTTTTCATTTGCTGGCAATAACATAAATGGAACAATTGCTAATAGTTAAATAAAGAGTGCAAATTAATAAATTAGGTGGGAATTCCCTGGTGATCCAGTGGTGAGGATCTTGGGCTTTTACTCTGGGTCGAGTCTGGACCCTTGGTCTGGGAACTAGGATCCTGCAAGCCTTGAGGCACAGCCAAAATAATACATACATACATACATGTACATACATAAGTGTGTGTGTATATATACACACATACATATGACTATTATTAACTTACTGAATTTGACTATTGTACAGATTATATAAAGTCATGCCCTTGTTTCTAAGAAACATCACATTAAAAAAAAAAAAAGAAACATCACATTTAAGTGTAGAGGAACATCATGTCTGCAGTTTCCTCTCAAATGGGTCAAAAAAATGAAGCAAAAGGATAATGTTAACATTTGGGAACTCGAAGTGACATGTTTAGGGGGATTACTTATACTTGTTTTGTAACTTTTCTGTAAAGTTTGAATTCTTTTAAGAAGAAAGGTTAATAAAATTAATGGGGTCACTTACGGAGAGAAAAAAATCGTACTAAGACATCAGTAACATTTAGACGAGTAGTGGAAGAAAAGATGGAAGAACGTTAAAAGATGAAGTCGAAAGGACTACAAACAGTCACAAAGGAAAGCACAGCTTCTGTGCTCTCCTGCACCCCGAAGTCTTAAGAAACAGCTGCTCACGAGCGGTGTCGATTAAGCCAAACCCACGAAACCCAACCACGAAAGCATAGCCGAGCTCCAGCAGACTCCGCCATGTTTTCCCAGTGAGCATGTGTGCGCGTACGTGAGTACGTCCCAACCAATCGGTGCCCACGTCGGCGACTCGTTCACTACCAGGGTGGGACGGCCTTCTACACATGCGCAAGGTTGGGCGGGCCTTCTTCCTTCTCGCCGAACGCCGCCAACATGGTGAGTATCGCCGGCGCGGGCTCCATGTCTGACCCCTATACCGCTCCAGCTTTGCCTGGGCTGGGGGCCGGAGGCGAGCAGCGGCGCTCAGCGGATCTTAGGTATTGTGCAGTGAGGTTCCCCGGGTGGGCAAGACACAAGAGTTGGGAGCTTTCAGGATGTGAACTCGAGGAGCGCGTGGAGGGCCCGGCATGCCGGGCGCTCGCTGGGTCACGCGTGCGCTCTCTGGCCGCCTCCACCGCATCGTTGCGGCGGCCAGTCGCCTAGCCAGCCCGCCGTGGCCGAAGCAGAGTGGGGCATGGTGGTCTGGCCGTGCTGGCTTCGTGGACCTGGAGGCCAGCGGGAGCCTGACTTGCCACCGTTCCCTCTGTGGATTTCGTCCATCCTGGTTGACCCATGGCACTTCGGCGTGTTTTCCTCAACATTCTTTTTTCCTGTTTTTAGCCATACTATATTTAAGTTACAAAGACGGCGAACTGGATCGTATTTTTAATCAGTCTCGCTGTTCTCTCTCCCCCCGCCTCCCAATTTTAGGTGTTCAGGCGCTTCGTAGAGGTTGGCCGGGTGGCCTACGTCTCCTTTGGGCCTCATGCTGGGAAGCTGGTCGCGATTGTAGATGTTATTGATCAGAACAGGGTAAGTGTAAGGAAAAGTGTCACGGCTTCACATGGCACTGGAGGCAGTGTAGACGACAGAGGTAATGGTTTCAACGGCCCTCTTTAAGAGAGTACTATGGGTGGTAGTTAGTTAAACAGCCAGCGCAGATAGGGGTTACAGAGCAGAGGCTTGAATTGACCTGTATTGCTGGGTTTGAGTAATACTTCTGTCTTTTAAACTAGGCAGTTTTCTTTTTTTTTTAATAAATTTATTCACTTTAATTGGAGGCTAATTACTTTACAATATTGTAGTGGTTTTCCTATACATTGACATGAATCACCTACGGGTGTACATGTGTTCCTTATCCTGAACCCCCCTCCCACCTCCCTCCCTACCCCATCCCTCTGGGTCATCCCAGTGCACCAACCCCGAGCACCCTGTCCCATGCATCAAACCTGGACTGGCGATCCGTTTCACATTTGATAATATGCATGTTTCAGTGAAACTAGGCAGTTTTAAACTAAAGGTGGGCTAAAACATTGGCGAGATGTAAATCATTTATTATGTTCAAAGCGAATTTGGAACAAAGCCAGTCCCATAGAAAGCCCTTGTTTCCTGCTGTCATTACTTGAGCACCACAAACTAAGGGATTGAGCAAAGATAGTTTTTTTTGGTGGGAAGTGGAAGGAGTAAAGACAAAACTATATGTTGGGTTCTATGCTTAACTATTACTGCTAAGTCCTTTTTTAACCTTTAAGAAAGATTTTAAATATAAGAATTTGATGATTCTGAAAAGACTAATATTATGTAGGATATCTGCATTTTGAATGCTGTTACATTTTTATACTGAAATCCTTGATCTTACCTCTTCTAGGCTTTGGTGGATGGACCTTGCACTCAAGTAAGGAGACAAGCTATGCCTTTCAAATGCATGCAGCTCACTGATTTCATCCTCAAGTTCCCGCACAGGTAACTATCCAACTATCACCCCCTTCCATAGTTTTATTAATACTAGTAAAAATTTGCTTAATTTCATTTAAAAATGTTGTTGGTTTTTTTTTTCTCTTGAGAATGTAGTAAGCAGTGTGAGAGTGAGAGCCATTTAGAAGAGAGATTTGCATTGTAAAAGACATTTACTAATAAAATGCCTTGCGATCCGGTGGTTCTCTGACTTTCCCTTTGTCCAGATTTCGTATTCTTTTTCTCTTGTACCCCTTTCTTTCAGGATTCACTCAACAGAGAACTTCCTATATGTGTGGTTCCCTGAACATGTGTTAGTCAATTTTAGCTTTAGGACAAAAAATACTATCATCAGTTGAAATTTTCATATGTGTCATCTAATACTTAACATACCGTCATCTCCTTATGCCAGCCACCAAAGAGGTTCTATTCCTGGCTATTCATAAGCAATTAAGGCAGTCATTCTGTGATTTTTAACATGATGTAGGTTATAGAAGTTAAAAACTGGTGTGTTGCTGTGTGGTGACGATTGTTTGCAATGTAACCTGTGCTATGACTGGTTTACTTTCTAAGCATACTGGATTTTGATGTTTGAAAGAAATTCTAAAGTGGTTATAATTCCATTTTATGGCATTTGAACACAAATCTTTAAGCATTACTGTACAGAATAAAGCAAACCATAAGGGACAACTATGTTATTTATGAAAAGGAAATTGCTTTCTATTCATCCACTATTTGAGTGATATATGCACATTATTAGAGGTGATTTTTAAACTCTGAAAGAGGAGTGGTTTGCATATTTTTATTTTAAAAATTGTGTGTTTTGAGGATATAAGACATCCTGGCTTAGTGAACACTGTTGGAACAAGTAGAAGATAACGTTGTGCCTTGTGCTGTGTTCTGTGGAGACCAACTACAACTGGAAGTAGAAAATGCAAGGGTTCTTGTGGCATTTTTCTTGTGCTTTTTCAGAGGATGAAAAGCTGTCCTTGAATCTGTGTGACGTCAGAGCTGATTTCTTAAATCTTTGTTCTTGGTTCTTTCTAGTGCCCGCCAGAAGTATGTCCGGAAAGCCTGGGAGAAGGCAGATATCAATGCAAAGTGGGCAGCCACAAGGTGGGCCAAGAAGATTGAAGCCAGAGAAAAGGTAATGATTTAGAGATATTTGAATTTGGACATGTTCTGATTTTGGAGGATTAGAAGGTGGTTTGACAAAGTTCTTTTTTTTTTAAACACAGAAAGCCAAGATGACAGATTTTGATCGTTACAAAGTCATGAAGGCAAGGAAAATGGTAAGTTTTTGTGATTGTTGTATTCCAGCCCTGAATTTATTTGTCCGGTAATTCTTTTTGCCTAAGTGTATTGACCATAAGTTGGCTTCATAGAATTCTCAGCCATTATAAGGGTGGTCTCCTGTTTCTACCTATATATCCATACATATAGGATGGGTAAGAGTTTTGTGTGAATATATAATGAACATTTTTATTGAAATTTTTCAGAGGAACAGACTAATCAAAATTGAAGTTAAGAAACTTCAAAAGGCAGCTCTCCTGAAAGCCTCTCCCAAGAAAGCCCTTGCTGCTAAGGGGGCAGCTGCAGCAGCTGCTGCCGCTGCCAAGGTTCCAGCGAAAAAGATCACCACTGGGGGTAAGAAGGCTCCAGCCCAGAAGGTTCCTGCCCAGAAAGCTGCAGGCCAGAAGGCCGCACCTCCTGCTAAAACTCAGAAGGGTCAGAAAGCTCCATCCCAGAAAGCACCTGCTCCAAAGGCATCTGGCAAGAAAGCATGAGTCCATAAGAGGCTATTCAAATCAGAATAAAGGTTCTTTTTGATGTGCTGGCAAATTTAATCTGTGGATTAGTCTTGTTGCTGGGGCTGGGTTTATGAGGCAGATTGATGGTAGGATTGTTACTGTCCTCATTGGAGAAGGAATTCCTGAGTCCCACTCTGTCCAGACTCAAGATACTATCAAGTCATCACACAAAGTCCTAAGTAATGTTCTTACGGGAAATCATGATAATAGACCACTGGGTTAATTTTGTTTCCTTGTACAAATATACATCTCATAAATAACTAAAATCCCAGATGCTTCTTATGCTCAAGAGTAAATTTTCTTATAAAAATACACTGTAGGTAAACAAATACTACATTTGGATAGGTTTTCCAGTTCACAGTCATTTCTCATTTTTGTTTAGTGGCATTAGTAGGCAAGTGATAGTGTGATAGTTGCTGTGATAGAGGAATTTTGGATTACTTGTCCTTCTAACAAGTACAAGGGGGGTTGTCTAAAGTGGGATCTTAAGTTTCCACCCAGAACATGGTGTGGGGGGAAGGGAGGTACGAATCTCAGGCTTGTAGAAGACTTGCCAGAGACCACAGGACTAGGAAGCCAGGTGTTGGCTCTGTGGTGGGTGGATAGTATATAGAAAGCCATAGATTCCTTTCTGAATAGAGTGATGTTAGAGTGTGTCCTGTTGAATGAACTGAAACATGGGACAGAAAGAGTTGGGAAGGTCAGGTGGTTTCAAGCTTGGCAGTACTCCTTAACCTGTAAAGGTCCAAAGTGTCACTGGTGAAATTGTGTTGAGGTTCGTGAACTGCATCTTCTAGTATTCCAGTTAGCATTCATGAGTATAAAAATTTATGAATGCTTTTTTGTCTGAAACTATCATTGATAGCTAGCTCAGTTGGTAAAGAATCCACCTGCAATGCAGGAGACTCTAGTTCGACTCCTGGGTTGGGAAGATCTGCTGGAGAAGGGATAGGCTACCCACTCCAGTGTTCTGGCCTGGAGAGTTCCATGGACTGTATGGTCCATGGACATGTATATTTTGGGCTTCCTGGTGGCTCAGATAGTAAAGCGTCTGCCTCCAATGCAGGAGACCCAGTTCAATCCCTGGGTTGGGAAGATCCCTGGAGAAGGAAATTGCAAGCCACTCCAGCATTCTTGCCTGGAAAATCCCATAGTTGGAGGAGCCTGATAGGTTACAGTCCAGAGGGTCACAGTCAGACACAGCTAAGCGACTTCACTTTCAGTTTTCACTTTGCTTGTCTGAAGTAGTTATTTCCCCCTTAAGAATTTTTACTGAAGCACATCTGATAGAAACTGCCCAGGTGAGCCACGGACAACACAGGTAAGCGGGTCTGTTCATGGTCATTCACTTCAGTTGTGTCTGTGTGTGACCCCATGGACCGTAACCTGCCAGGCTTCTCTGTTCATGGGATTCTCTAAGGCACAATCCTGGAGTGGGTTCCCATACCCTCCTTCAGGGGATCTGACTGACCCAGAAATGAACCCATTCTCTTTCCTGCTTCCGCATTGCAGTTGGATTCTTTACAGCTGAGCCACCAGAGAAGCCCCAGAGGGGTCTGCCCTGACTTCAAATGCCAACTGCAAGGCTCTCAGGCCTCTTGTATTTCTCACGGTGCAGCTGTAATTGGAGTCCCCATGACTGCCTCCTTTGTTAATAGAAATAAGGCATGCTGCAGGCTTCCCAGGTGGCTCAGTGTTAAAGAATCTGCCTGCCAAGCAGACTATCCCTGCAGGTTCTGTGCCTGGTTCAGGAAGATCTGGAGAAGGAACTCAAACATTTGTTACAGGCCTGTCACAAAAGGTAACTCAGAACAGCCAAATGGAAATGCATGAGTTAAGTTGTGAGGGAAGGGGCACACAGCTTACATGCCCTTTCTAGCTTGCTACCCTCCCAGCACCTTTATGTTCATCCTGGAAGCTGCCTTCTGTTTAGAGCCCCCTACCCCTTTAGAGTTTCTATGGAATTTCGTTAGGTAGGCATGTTTGATTAAATCATTGGCTATGGTGATTAGTTAGATCCCCAGCCCTTCTGCTCCAGGCAGGTCGGGGGTTGGTGGTGGTGGTGATGGTGACCAGGTCACCCACGATGGTCACAGTCCTGGTGGTTCCTCTGATGAGCAGCCCCCCAATCCCCATCCTGAAGTTAGGAGACCCTAGCCACTGGTCATCTCAGTCAAAAAGGACAGTTCTACCACTCTGGAGACTCCCAAGAATTTTAGAGGCTTCTTGTGCCAAGAACTGGACGGGAATACCAAATACGTAATTTTTAAGTCACAGTATTACACCCTGTATCTCTGATAATTTGCAGTTTATGAATCGACTCAGTCCGTTGAATTTATGAGTTTGAAACTATTTCCATTCTCAATTGAGAAACTGAGGAAGAGTTTAGTAATTTGCCCAAGGCCATACAGTGAAGACAATTCGAACCTAGTCAGATCCCAGACTTAATGATTTTAGGTCACGGTCCAGGCCATCAGCTAGTAAGCCGGGGAGATGGGCTATATCATTAGGTTAGATTGCTGCTGGCAAGTGTGGGGCTTCCCTGGTGGCTCAGGCGGTAAGAATCCGCCTGCAATGTGAAAGATTGTGTGCTCGATCCTTGGGTTAGGAAGATCCCCTGGAGGAAGGCATGGCAACCCACTCCAGTATTCTTGCCTGGAGAATCCCATGGACAGAGGAGCCTGGCGGGCTACGGTCCGGGGGTCAAAAAGAGTGGGACAGGACTGAGCAACTAAGTACACACATTAAGTGTAAGCGACAGAACTTTAAGTATCACAAGTATAATGTGGAATCTCTGTCCTTGAGGAAGTGTCAACTTGGCGTAAGCAGCCACAGATACGAGCTAATGCGCGAGCAGTCATCCGGGATCTGGCTTGGGGGGAACCATAGAGAAAGGCCAGCCTCCGGGCTTCCTAGAGAGGCGCCGAGAGCGCCAGTTGGGAGCGCTTCCGCCTTAGCTAGGTGCGGCGGGCCTGCTGGCACTCTCGCTCACCCGGAATTCCGGGATCCCATTCCCTCGTGGCGCAGCCCTCCTCATCCTGGAGCTCGCCGAGCAGAGGCCTCCGAAGCTCTGCGAGCCTGGGCACAGCCCTCTGCTGGAGAGGAGCAATCGACTTTTCTGCCCTGAAGAGCCGGCTCGACCTCCTTCCTCCGACTTGCGGTACTCAGGGTGCGGGCCGGTGACGTTTAGAGTCGCCTGTTTCCCAGGGTGGAGTGTTCGGATCCGGAAGCGGGCTTCGGTCCTCTTAGCCCAACTAGGACGTTAAACATTTTACCCTTTCCTCCCGGGGCCAGAACTCCGCTTGCATTTTGTTCTGCAGCCCTTGCAGAGGTCCAGAGGCCTCTATTACCCTACTTTTTCTGCGAAAGCTTGTTTGGGATCTTTGCCAACCGTGGTCAGTAGAAGCATTCGGCGCAGACTACATAGTGATACATTCAAAGCGGGCCAGGGATTTTCTTACAAGTCAAATGTTCTGCAGTCCTTGACTCTTGCTTCAGAGAGTCTTTCTAGGAATTTCTGTCCTCATCAGGTAAATTTGTAGAGTATCTTTCCTAGGATGGTGGTGAGGAGACTGAGGGAGGAAAAGGTGGCGAGTGTGAGAAACAAGACAGGGTCAGTCTCATTGTGGTTCTTTCTCCTCTTAGCTCTCCAGGTTCTTGCTTTTCCAAACAGAGAGGGCAGTGCATGAAGCCAGGGGTCATCAGCCATTCTCCAGACATGGTCTCAGGTGAGCTTTTCCCCAGCTTTTCACATTCAGAACAGATATGCAAGGGTATTACAGGACGTGCCTTGGCCAGTCATGTGCTTAGCTTTGCATCCATCAAAGAGTATGGCAAAGGAGTGTGTTAGGGGAGTTAATGAGGGAGAGTAGAATAAATTTGGAAGGATCAGGTGTGGAAAGAGGGAAGCACCAGCCTAAAAATTCTAGAAAGTGAGAATCTACATCCAGGCAGACCGTGAGGATGGTGCACAGATGAACAGGTTTGGCCTGACCAGAGGGCTCATTAGAAAGGCAGAACCTCATCCACTGAATCAGAATCTACATTTGTACAATATCTGGGGAATTAATGGGCAGGTTAAAATTTGGGGAGCGCTAGTCTGTGGAGGTTCATGACATTGTACAGGAGACAGGGATCAAGACCATCCCCATGGAAAAGAAATGCAAAAAGGCAAAATGGTTGTCAGAGGAGGCCTTACAAATAGCTGTGAAAAGAAGAGAAGCGAAAAGCAAAGGAGAAAGGGAAAGATATACCCATTTGACTACGGAGTTCCGAAGAATAGCAAGGAGAGATAAGATAGCCTTCCTCAGCGATCAATGCAAAGAAATAGAGGAAAACAACAGAATGGGAAAGACTAGAGATCTCTTCAAGAAAATTAGCGATACCAAGGGAACTTTTCATGCAAAGATGAGTTCGATAAAGAACAGAAATGGTATGGACCTCACAGAAGCAGAAGATATTAATAAGAGGTGGCAAGAATACACAGAAGAACTATACAAAAAAGATCTTCACCACCCAGATAATCACGATGGTGTGATCACTCACCTAGAGCCAGACATCCTGGAATGTGACGTCAAGTGGGCCTTAGAAAGCATCACTACGAACAAAGCTAGTGGAGGTGATGGAATTCCAGTTGAGGTATTTCAAATCCTGAAAGATGATGCTGTGAAGGTGCTGCACTCAATATGCCAGCAAATTTGGAAAACTCAGTAGTGGCCATGGGACTGGAAAAGGTCAGTTTTCATTCCAGTCCCAAAGAAAGGCAATCCCAAAGAATGCTCAAACTACTACACAATTGCACTCATCTCACATGCTAGTAAAGTAATGCTCAAAATTATCCAAGCCAGGCTTCAGCAATACATGAACTGTGAACTTCCAGATGTTCAAGCTGGTTTTAGAAAAGGGAGAGGAATCAGAGATCAAATTGCCAATATCCGCTGGATCATCAAAAAAGCAAGAGAGTTCCAGAAAAACATCTATTTCTGCTTTATTGACTATGCCAAAGCCTTTGACTGTGTAGATCACAATAAACTGTGGAAAATTCTGAAAGAGATGGGCATACCAGACCACCTGACCTGCCTCTTGAGAAACCTATATGCAGGTCAGGAAGCAACAGTTAGAACTGGACATGGAACAACAGACTGGTTCCAAATAGGAAAAGGAGTATGTCAAGCCTGTATATTGTCACCCTGCTTATTTAACATATGCAGAGTACATCATGAGAAACGCTGAGCTGGAAGAAGCACTAGCTGGAATCAAGATTGCCGGGAAAAATACCAATAACCTCAGATATGCAGATGACACCACCCTTATGGCAGAAAGTGAAGAGGAACTAAAAAACCTCTTCATGAAAGTGAAAGAGGAGAGTGAACAAGTTGGCTTAAAACTCAACATTCAGAAAACTAAGATCATGGCATCTGGTCCCATCACTTCATGGCAAATAGATGGGGAAACAGTGGAAACAGTGTCAGACTTTACTTTTCTGGGCTCCAAAATCACTGCAGATGGTGACTGCAGCCATGAAATTAGAAGATGCTTGCTCCTTGGAAGAAAAGCTATGACAAACCTAGATAGTGTATTAAAAAGCAGAGACATTACTTTGCCAACAAAGGTTCATCTAGTCAAGGCTGTGGTTTTTTCAGTGGTCATGTATGGATGTGAGAGTTGGACTGTGAAGAAAGCTGAGTGCCGAAGAATTGATGCTTTTGAACTGTGGTGTTGGAGAAGACTCTTGAGAGTCCCTTGGACTGCAAGGAGATCCAACCAGTCCATCCTGAAGGAGATCAGTCCTGGGTGTTCATTGGAAGAACTAATGCTGAAGCTGAAACTCCAATACTTTGGCCACCTCATGTGAAGAGCTGACTCACTGGAAAAGACCCTGATGCTGGGAGGGGTTGGGGGCAGGAGGAGAAGGGGACGACAGAGGATGAGATGGCTGGATGTCATCACCTACTCGATGGACATGAGTTTGGGTACACTCCAGGAGTTGGTGATGGACAGGGAGGCCTGGCGTGCTGCGATTCCCGTGGGGTCGTAGAGTCGGACACGACTGAGCGACTGCACTGAACTGAACTGCGTCTGTGTGGCAGCACACAGAGGAAGGCCACCTCCTGAGATTAAACAGGCGTGCCTCCAGGAGGAGTTTGCTCTGCAGACCACAGAGTCAGGGTGCAATGAAACCCAAATTGGGAGCATTGGAGGGTGTGGATTGATGAGAGAGGTGAATTCTTGAAGGAGTGCTGAGTTTAGAACTGAAGCCAGTGCCTCTAAGTCCACTGCAAAAACTTCAGTTTAATCTGTGTTAAAAGGCTGTATTCATTGTTGGCACAAATTCATGCATCATTGAAGGAAGTTTTCCCTCTGGAGTTTTCTTACTGATAGAGGATGATTTCGGTGAATTTCTCTCTAGATTCCTAGACCATGCAGTGGGAAAGCTGGTGTGTCATGTAATGGATGTATCATAAAATGAGAAAGCTCCATCCCAGAAACTTAAGAGCAGTGTGTATTTGGTTCATTTTTCTGGACCATGGATCATCCACTTCTGTTTCAGCACTTAAGCCAACATCAGTTCCATGTTCGGAAAAATTTTAACATCTTTGGGTTCATTCTTTTCTCTCCAGGGGCTTTGCCTAAAGTATGGTAGTCATGTGGGATTATGTTCCACTAAGAAACCCCCCAACTGACGAATCCCCTGGTAGTCCAGTGGTTAGGACTCAGGGCTTCCACTGCAGTGGGTGTGCGTTTAATCCCTGAGCAGGGAACTGAGATCCTCCATGCTCTGTGGTGTGGCCAAACAAACAAACCCAAGTAACAGTGACTTAAATGTGGCTTAAACAGGAAAAAAGCTTCTCTCTTACACCAGAGAAGTCTGGGAGAGGCAGTCTAGGGCGAGTGTGATGGCTCCACTATTATCACACATCCACGTTCTTTCTATCTTTCTGCTCCACCATCCTAGCACTGGCTTTCCTGCCCAGGGGTACTTCACAGTCTTAAGGCGACTGCTTGATCTCCAACTATCATGTGCATTCCAGCTAGAAGAGGAGATGCTAAAAATGCAAACCTCTCAGCTGTTCTCTTTTAGAAACCTCTTAGAAGTGAGATAGATGGATGGATAGATATATTAAGAACTGTCAGTCTTTGCTACAATCTCTATGAGAAACATTTGCTATTTGGAATCACCTAGGAAGTTCCCCCAGTCTCATCTGTTGTTGTAATAAGTGCAGAGATTTATATATTATCATGTGCTAGGTGATGTTTGCTTTACACATACTAATTCATTCCATCCTTAGAAGAGCCTCATTAGCTTTGTATTGCTAGTATCACAGTATTTTAGATGAAGAAATTGAGGCACAAAAAATTTAGTGTCTTATCTAAGCTCATACAGCTAATGGCCAGAGCGGTGGAATCTGGACCTTGGGAGTGTGACTGTAGAGCTGGGTTTGTCAGCCTCAGCACTGTTGATGTTTGGGGCCAGGTAACCCTTTGTTGGGGACTCTTCTGTGCACTCTAGGATGTTAAGCAACTTGCATCCATGGCCTCTAACCACTAGGTGTCAGTAGCTTCACCCCCATCCGGAGGTTGTGGCAACTAAAACCATCTCCAGACATTGCCACATATTCCCTGAGCACAATTGCCCCCCCATTGAGAACCACAGCTCTACTCTAAAGTCTCTGCTGTTTGCCATGAATCTGTGCTGCCTCTGAAACCCACTTCCCATGTAGGGGAATCAACAGCCCTATTGATTTTTCAAAACTGTATTTGTTTTATTTGGGGCTTTGCTGGGTCTTCGTTGCTGCACACAGGTTTTCTCTCTTTTTTTTTTCATTTATTTTTATTAGTTGGAGGCTAATTACTTTACAATATTGTAGTGGTTTTTGTCATACATTGACATGAATCAGCCATGGGTTTACATGTGTTCCCCATCCCGATCCCCCCTCCCACCTCCCTCTCCACCCGATCCCTCTGGGTCTTCCCAGTGCACCAGGCCCGAGCACTTGTCTCATGCACCCAACCTGGGCTGGTGATCTGTTTCACCCTAGATAATATACATGTTTCAATGCTGTTCTCTTGAAACATCCCACCTTCGCCTTCTCCCAGAGTCCACAAGTCTGTTCTATACATCTGAGTCTCTTCTTCTGTTTTGCATATAGGGTTATCGTTACCATCTTTCTAAATTCCATATATATATGTGTTAGTATACTGTAATGGTCTTTATCTTTCTGGCTTACTTCGCTCTGTATAATGGGCTCCAGTTTCATCCATCTCATTAGAACTGATTCAAATGAATTCTTTTTAATGGCTGAGTAATATTCCATGGTGTATATGTACCACAGCTTCCTTATCCATTCATCTGCTGATGGGACAGGTTTTCTCTAGTTGCAGGGGGTGGGGGCTGCTTCTGGTTGTGGCGTGGGCTTCTCGTTGCCGTGGCTTCTCTTGTTGCAGAGCACGGGCTCTAGAGCTCAGGCTCAGGAGTTGTGGTGTACGGGGTTAGTTTCCCCCTGCCATGAGAAATCTTTCTGGACCAGGGCTTGAAGCCCAGTCCCCTGCATTAGCAGGCAGATTCTTAATCCCTGGACCACGAGGGAAGTCCCCTGTTAATTTAATAATGGAGAGGGAGGAAGTGTCAGCAAAGGCATGAAGCAGAATGATGAGAGATGGAGCTGGATGTTGAGAATCTGCATGTTGGGGAGCACAAAGAACAAAGGACACATAAGTAATTAGAGAGGTGTGGAGGGTGGAAGCCCTCATGTGAGGGAAGATGGTCAGGACTTGCTCTCAGCTGCTGACTCGCAAGGAAGTAGAGGCAGAATATTAACATTCAGGGTCAGCCAAGTGTCTGTTCTCCACTGTTCAGTAAGGGAGCCACTAGCTACAGGTGCCTATTTAAATTAAAATGAGTTAAAATTAGAAATCCAGTTCATCAGTCACACTAGCCAACTTTAGATTTCCTGGTCAAAGTGTTATCTGATTTCTTCACTGTATAGTTATTATTTTTCCCCTGAAAGTGATTAGAAAGCTATTGGGAAACTTTTTTTTTTTACATGATTAAGAAGTTGAATATTTTATTATTAAATTGTTTATTCTCCTGCAAGGCTGTTGCTTCACTGTATAAAAATAGCACCAGCAAACACAGTATATTGCAAAATTAAGACAGTAATATTCTTCACTGGACAGTATACAACTAATAAACTTTTCTCCACTGGCAGTTATTTCTAGTGGGAAGATCATTTTGACCCACATCCAAGGATAGCTGTAAGCAAGTTACAATGTCATATAAGGTATAAGATAACCATGTTATCCTTGAATTACATAATTTTTGTAATTAGTTTTACCAGAGATAATTTTAGGAATTCTGAATATTATAACTGGAGCCTAGCCTAAAAATAACACGATGCTGTGGAAAAGATGCACAGTGTTTATCTGAAGGCATTAGAAAGTTAAGGGGTATTTTCTTCAGGAAACATTGTTACAAGTAGTTTCTTTTGCTAAAAGTTGCTTTTGAAATATCTATCCACCACTAATTTAAGACAACTATGCTAGATCAAGTTGTTTCAAAGTAATTTATTTAGGGGTTCCATTTTCATTCCTCAATAGACTTTATGTATTTCTCATATGCTTCTTCACTCATTAGTTCATCTAATTCTGAAGGGTTACTGAATGTCATCTTGATCAGCCAACCATCTTCATAACAAGACTTGTTGACAAGTCCTGGATTTTCTGCTAGAGCTTGATTAATTTCAGTTACTTCTCCTGAGAGAGGGGAATAGAGTTCACTAGCGGCTTTTACACTTTCCAAAGCACCAAACTCCTCTTGTTTGTTCAACTTTGTCCCAATTTCAGGCAGACTACAGTACACAACATCTCCCAACGCTTCCTGTGCAAAATTGCTGATTCCCACTGCTCCCACACCGTTTTCTGTTGTTACTCATTCGTGTTTTTCTGTGAATTTCCGCACCGACGGCAGCGCAGGGTCGGTGTGCAGCGCCCGGACGGCACCCGCCCGCAGTCCCCAGGGCTGCGGCGAGCAGGGCGCGCGGGCTGCAGGCCGCGGCCGCACGCTCCGCACCGCTTGCAGCGCCGTGTTCGCACGGGTGCAGGGGGTCTCCGCGCCGCACCTAGAGCACCCAGGCCGGCGGGGCGGCCCCGGGCCGGAGCGAGGGAAACATTTAAAATCAGGCAGATATCCTGCTTATCAACATTTCCTCCTGGATTTCGCATCTTTACAGCGATGGCTGTAAGTCCCCAGCTTCTCCTTTGGTGTCTCTTTTTAACAGGACACGCCCTCCCGGAAGGTCAGGCCCCTCCCTTTGCCTCCGTCCTGGGCTGGAGAAGAAGCCTGTTGTTTCAGGAGCCAGTGACCTTTGAGGACGTCGCTGTGTACTTCACCCAGAACCAATGGGCCAGCTTGGACTCTGCGCAGAGGGCCCTGTACAGGGAGGTGATGCTGGAGAATTACGCAAACATAACCTCCTTGGGTGAGTCCTCTTTCCTTCCTAAAACTCAGCTTCTGCCCTTGGGGGCTCCTGGCTTGCTCTGTAATGTATCTGGGATCTCTAATACGACCAGAATAGATGCTCCATGAGCTGAGCTCCCCGATCCTCAGTTGCAGTAACTAACTACTGGAGAAAGATCTGGGTTCATTTCAGTTTTAAACAGGACTTCCCCGATATTCCCTGGCAGTCCAGTGGTTAGGACTCCACACTGCCAAGCTGCTGCTGCTGCTAAGTCACTTCAGTCGTGTCCGACTCTGTGCGACGCCATAGATGGCAGCCCACCAGGCTCCGCCGTCCCTGGGATTCTCCAGGCAAGAACACTGAAGTGGGTTGCCATTTCCTTCTCCAATGCATGAAAGTGAAAAGGGAAAGGGAAGCCGCTCAGTCGTGTCCAACTCTCAGCGACCCTAAGGACTGCAGCCTACCAGGCTCCTCCGTCCATGGGATTTTCCAAGCAAGAGTACTGGAGTGGGTTGCCATTGCCTTCTCCAACACTGCCAAGGGTGTGGGTTCAATCCTTGATCGGGGAACTAAGATCCCAGAGGTTGAGCAGTGTGGCCAAAAAAAGAAAAGACTTCCTTCTTTCCCCTTAGGAATTCTCCTGGGAGGGGCTTTGCCCTGGGGTCAGAGCACTGAGAAGGTTCCATATTCATTCCTTCACTCTTTCAGTTCCCTGGAGGAGACTGTGGCCCCATCTTCTCTGTATGAGAGTCTCCTAAGGCCTTCTGTACACTCTTCCAGTGACAGTGTGGACTTCCTGTGCTTTCAGAGCCAGAATAATCTTCCTGGGCAAAACAGTTTGTGCTCTCATTTCATCCCCGAGTCTCTCCACCCTGGCCTCCCTTCGTCTCCTGGGACGTCACTGCTTTTTCCACCTGGCAAAGTTGGGGGTAGACTGAGAGGGGTCCGAGGAGACTCTCAACTTTCTGTTCCTCTTCTGTGTCCTTCAGCAGCATTTCCACTCCCCAAACCAGATCTGATCTTCTGGCTGGAGCGAGGGGAAGAACCAGGGTGCCTGGATCCCTGGACACTGGTCGGGGGAGAGGACCTGAGAGGCATCTGCAGAGGTAAGCAGGAGAACCTGCCATTCTCTCCTCCATAGAGCTTCAGCCCCAAACTGGAAAAGACTAGTCCAGACCTTTTATTTTCCATCATTCTTCTTTGTAAAGCTAAAGGATTTCAAACATTTAGTAGTGAAGGTAGACTTCTGTTGATTAACGTAAGAATATACACAAAACAGACAACTTGTTTCTGTAAGGACATTTTGTATGTGTTTGTGTGTGTGTGAGAGAGAGAAACTGTAGCAGGAGAATGGACTTTTTATAAATTCCTAAACACTAAATTAGAAAGTAGCTTTTGAAAGAAATCCTGTTTATTTTGGGGAGTGTTTTTCTACTTTTGTTTAAAAAATGCCATTGGCATCTTGATAGAGGTTGCATTGACTCTATAGATGACTTTTGGCAGTATTGACCTTTTTTTTAAGATTTATTTATGGCTGTGCTGGGTCTTCCTTGATGTTTTCAGGTTTTCTCTGTTATGATGGGCAGAGGCTACTCTTCCTTGTGGTGCAAGGGTTTTTGTTGCAGTGTCTTCTTGCGGAACAGGGGGTCTAGAGCACAGCCTCAGTAGTTGTGGCCTACAGGCTTAGTTGCTCCGAGGCACGTGGGATCTTCCTGGAACAGGGATTGAACCCATGTTCCTGGCATTGGCAAGTGGATTCTTAACCACAGGACTACCAGGGAAGTTCAGTATTGACATTTTAACAGTATTAATTCTCCCAGTTCACAAACATGGACTATTTTTCCATTTATTTGTGTCTTCTTTGGTTGTTTTCATCCATGTCTTGTAGTTTTCAGAGTAGAGATCTTTCAACCCTTCGGTTAAATTTATTTCTAAGTATTTTAGTGTTTTTGATGCTGTTATAAATGGTGTTATAAATGGGATCAATTTCTTTATTTCTCAGAAAACTCATTGTTAGTATTCAGATTTTTGTATGTTAATTGTATATCCTGCAGCTTTACTGAATTCACTGTTTAGATTTAACAGTTCTTTTTGTTGAGTCTTAAGAATTTTCTGTATTTTAAATCTTATTATCTGCAAATAGAACAAATTGTATTTCTTCCTTCCTCATTCTGGTACCTTTTCTTTCTTTTTTTTTTTTTTTTTGCCTGTTTGCTTTAGCTAGGATTTTCAGCATTGTGTTAAATTGGAGTGGTGAGAGTAGACGCTCTTGTACCTAATCTTAGAGGAGAAACTTTCAACCTTTCACTCTTGAGTATGATGTTAGCTGTGGGCATTTCATTTATGGCCTTTTTTATGTTGAGATATGTTCCTTCCTTGTGGCGGTGGTTTAGTTGCTAAGTCATGTCCAACTCTTATGACCCCATGGATGATAGCCTGCCTGGCTCCTCTGTCCATGGGATTCTCCAGGGAAGAATACTGGAGTGGGTTGCCATTTCCTTCTCCAGAGGATCTTCTCAACCTCAAATCAAACTAGGAACTCCTGCATTGCAGGCAGATTCTTTACCAACTGAGCTTCAAGGGAAGCCCATGTTCCTTCTCTACCTAATTTGTTCAGTTTTTATGGTGAATGAGTGTTGAGTTTTGTGAAATTCTTTTCTTTACCTATTGAAAGTGAAAGTCGCTTAGTTGTGTCCAACTCTTTGCAACCCCATGGACTGTACGGTCCATGAAATTCTCTAGGCCAGAATACTGGAGTGGGTAGCCTTTTCCTTCTCCAGGGGATCTTCCCAACCCAGGGATCGAACCCAGGTCTCCTGCATTGCAGGCGGATTCTTTACCAGCTGAGCCACAAGGGAATTCCTGGAGTGGGAAGCGCACAGGGCAAGAATACTGGCGTGGGTAGCCTATCTCTTCTCCAGCAGATCTTCCCGACCTAGGAATCAAACTGGGGTCTCCTGCATTGCAGGCACATTCTTTACCAACTGACCTTTCAGGGAAGCCTTTACCTATTGAGATGATCATATGATTCTTTTCTTTCATTCTATTCATATGCAGTTTCATATCAATTGACTTGTGGAAAGCACGTTTATTTATTGGGGATGAGTGGTTTCCTTTTTTGCCTTTTGCCTGAGGGATCTTAGTTCCTCGACCGGGGACTAGAAGAACCCCTGCCCTGCTGCAGTGGAAGCATGGAGTCCTAACCACTGGGCTGCCAGGGACTTCCCCTTTCTTGAAAGATAATGAATTGAATTTAAATGTGAAGAACCATCCACAGATTTGGTGGATAGTCTTTCTCATTCAATCGCCCTGTTCTTATACCCCCTCAATCCCTAATGCTATTCAGAACCTCTGTAAACCAAACGCCCCTATCTTACTCACCCCGACTCTGTCTGCATCCAGCCCCTTTAGACTGACTCCAGCACTTGAGCCCACCTTGATGGAAAAAGCTTTCCCAGGGGCCCACCTGCACTTGTCAGTGAATCCCTTTGCCGCAGCTGCACATTGTCCATTTAGCCTGTCAATAGCTTTGGCCAGTAGGACTTTTCTACAGTGATGAAAATGTTATGTATCTGCACTGTCCAATATGGGAGGCATTAGCCACATGTGCACTTGAAATGTTGGTAATACAACTGAGGAACTGAATTTTTAACTTTGTTCCATTTTAATTAAATAGCCACATGTGGTTAATGGCCACCTAATCAGGCAATGCAACCTAAAACAATTTTAAACACAGCCTCCAGCTGCTTCTTTTAATTTCTAGATCAGTGGCTGTCAAACCGTAGTGTGCCGTGCTTGTTAAATCACTTGTGGTGCTGGACGCCACCTCCAGAAATTCTAATTTGGTAGACTGGGGTGGGGCCTGAGAATCTGCATTTCTAACAAGTTCCCAGACCATGATGATCCTGGGACCACACTTTGAAGACAACTGTTCCTGAGAATCTTGAACTGTGGCTTTAAAATTCTGGGTTGCAACTCATTAGTGAGTTGTGCTCACCATTTAAAAATTAGACTAGTTTGGGTTTGACTTCAATAAAATAGACCAAACTAGTATAAAATCCATCATATATTCATCATCCTTATTAAGGGTAGTGTTCTTTAAAACTCTTGTTTCCATGGGATCTAAATGGTGAGTCCTGGTCAAAAAAACTTGAGAAGCACTAAGCTAGAAGTTTCACTTGTCAAATCTTTGGTGTCTGGAAAGGCAAATATGGCTTCTCTGTTGTAGTACCACCAGTAAGAGTGTGGGCCCCCCTTCCCCACCAGTGGCCATCTCCAGTCCTAGAAGGGTCTGAACCAGCCATGTCTTTTTTCCTTCCACAGCTAAGTCTCTCTCCCACTGGACAGCACACGAGTTTTGCAATTACGGTCCTTTTATGAACCCCTCACAACCCGCAGTGTTACAAACTGTCCTTTCCCCAGTCAGGCTTGCAATATAAAACATCTCTTTAAACATTACAGAATATTCTAAAGCATTCGGACAGTTTCTTGCCTTGATGGGGACCTTGAGATCCACTGTTAGAGACAGCATCTTCCAGCCCTCTGGATGCTGTGTGGTGTGAGAGCTGCTTACTCAGCTCTTTTTGCTCCAGTTTAAAGATCTTCTTCAACCTCAACTCCATCTGCTTTCTTTTTTTTTTTAATTTTTGCCACACCTTGGATTTGTGGGATCTTAGTTCTCAACCAGGGATTGAACCCAGGGCCACAGAAATGAAAATGCTAAGTCCTAACCATTGGATTGCCTGGGAATTCCCTCCCTCTGCTTTTCTTAATTGTTTCCCATTCAGCATTTTCTCCACCCTATTCCTGTTTTTTCTTCTTTCATTTGTCTCCATTAATAGTTTTTGCTGTCTCTACTGATTTTGTTGTCCTAATGGCATTGCTTGCTTTCTCTACCTCCGGTATTTTTACTTTTCCTTCAGGGTATCATCAGGAGGCTACGTCTCTCTCCAAAAAGTACACATGTCCTGTTCATGGCATTAATAGTACTGCTTAATCCCTTTCTCCTTTCAGCATAACTAGGTGACTTATGTTTTCTTTTATTTCTTTTTTTTTTTTTTGGATACCTTTATCATTATATAATACCCATTTTTTTTTTTGTTACAGTCTTTGTTTTAAACTGTATTGTGTCTGGTTTGAGTATTGCTACTCCAACTTTCTTTTTATTTCCATTTCCATGGAATATCTTTTCCCATCCCTTCACTTTCAGTGTTTGTGTGTCTTTATTACTTATTTTAAACTTTTATTTCATATTAGAATACAGTTGACTAACAGTGTTATGTTTCAGATGTACAGCAGAGTGATTCAGTGATATCATGTTATGTTTTCATCATGCTAGGTGGTAAAGTCAAGACTGAGAACAGAGGGCAGACTACAGAGCTGAGCATTTCGAAGGGACCAGAGTCTCACAAGTTGATAATGGAGGTGCCGCTGGTGGATGTTCCCAGGCACCCTCACTTTGAGAACAGCTTAGAGAAGCTGCAGCTGTATCACCCAGGGAAGAAAAAATACTCAAAGAACGGCAGTTTCACAGATTTGCCAGTCCAGGATTATCCATCCTCCACTGCTGAAAGAGAAGAGACAGCCAGACAATTGCAAGGAAGCTGTGGTGTCTGCATGCATCTCACTGCTAAGCAGGGCCTCCCTAGAGAACAGGTATTTTATAATTGTGGTGAGTGCGGCAGATATTTCAACCAACATTCAGACCTTCACCAGCATCAGAGAATTCACATGGACGAAAAGCCCTACAAATGCAAAGAATGTGGCAAAGCCTTTAGATGTAACTCAAAACTGTCACGGCACCAGAAGATCCATACTGGGGAGAAACCGTACCCTTGCCAGGAATGTGGAAAAGCCTTCAGTCAAAACTCGCACCTCCTTCAGCATCAGAAACTCCACAGGGGAGAGAAGCCCTACAAATGTAAGGACTGTGGGAAAACCTTCGACTACAACTCGAAACTTATCCGGCATCAGCGAATCCACACTGGGGAGAAACCCTTTAAGTGTAAGGAATGTGGGAAGGCCTTCCGGTGTAACTATGACCGCATCATCCATGAGCGAATTCACACTGGGGAGAAGCCGTATGGATGTAAGGAGTGTGGGAAAAGCTTCAGATCAAATTCAGTTCTGATTCAGCATCAGAGGATCCACACCGGGGAGAAACCTTACAAATGTCAAGAGTGCAGCAAGGCTTTCCGCCGGAGTTCTCTGTTTCTCCAGCACCAGAGGTTCCACACTGGGGAAAAGCTCTATAAATGTAACGAATGTTGGAAAACTTTCATTTGTAGCTCACGCTTTATAGTACATCAGAGAATCCACACGGGGGAGAAACCTTATGAATGCCAGGAGTGTGGGAAGGCGTTCAACCAGAAATTTACCCTGGTTCAGCACCAGCGAGTTCACACTGAGGAGAAACCTTATGAGTGTAAAGTGTGTGGGAAATCCTTCAAATGGAGCGCGAGTTTCACTCACCATCAGAAAGTGCACACCAGGAAGAAACCCGACCAAGTTACAAGGCCATCCCCGGTGAAGCCCTGCTGCCCCACTTCAGTCCTGTCCTCTCTGTCTCCCCAACATGTGTGACCTGCCCCAGCCACGCCAGGGGCTCCCCTGTCTTGTTCACAGGCACTGCTGCTTCCTGCTGCTGTGCCTCTCTTCTGTTGTTCCCCTCATCGGAAATGGCCAAGTCTTCACCTGTCCAAGTTGTGCATTTCTTTCAGAATCATGCTTCTCCTCGGAAGTCATCTACTCAGAGCCTGAACCCTTTACCTCATTCCCTGTGAGCTCCTGTATGTTTCCAGCTCCGTCATCCCTAGTGTGGCAGACTCCTCTGGGCTTCCATCATGTCTTTGATGATACTCTTCTGGTCCCCTATAAGTAAGTCATTATTGTTCTCCCAGCTCCATTTAAGTTCGCGTACGTAAGGACCAAGTTTGATCACCCTCTTCTGTCCCTGGTGGGGCTTCCCTGGTGGCTCAGACGGTAAAGAATCTGTCTGCAGTGCAGGAGACCTGAGTTCGACCCCTGGGTTGGGAACATTCCCTGGAGAGGGGAATGGCTACCCACTCGAGTATTCTTGCCTGGAGAATTACATGGACAGCAGAGTCTAGTGGCCTACAGTCCAGCAGTTCAGTTCAGTTCAGTTGTGCAGTTGTGTCCCAACTATTTGTGACCCTATGGACTGCAGCACACCAGGCTTCCCTGTCCATTACCAACTCCTAGAGCTTACTCAAACCCATGTCCACTGAGTCAGTGATGCCATCTAACCATTTCATCCTCTTTCATCCCTTTCTCCTCCTGCCTTCAATCTTTCCCAGCATCAGTTTCTTTTCCAGTGAGTCAGTTCTTCACATCAGGTGACCAAAGTATTGGAGTTTCAGCTTCAGCATCAGCCTTTCCAATGAATATTCCGGATTGATTTCCTTTAGGATGGACTGGTTGGATCTCCTTGCTGCCCAAGGGACTCTCAAGAGTCTTCTCCAACACTACAGTTCAAAAGCATCAATTCTTATGTGCTCAGCTTTCTTTATGGTCCAACTTTCACATCCATACATGACTACTGAAAAATTCATAGCTTTGACTAGACAGACCTTTGTTGGCAAAGTAATGTTTCTGCTTTTTAATACGCTGTCTAGGTTTGTCATAGCTTTTCTTCCAAGGAGCAAGTGTCTTTTAATTTCATGGCTGCAGTCACCATCTGCAGTGATTTTGGAGCCCAAAAAAATAAAGTCTCTCACTGTTTCCATTCTTTCCCCATCTATTTGCCATGAAGTGATGGGACCAGATGCCATGATCTTAGTTTTCTGAATGTTGAGTTTTAGTTCAACTTTTTCACTCTCCTCTTTCACTTTCATCAAGAGGCTGTTTAGTTCTTTGCTTTCTGCCTTAAGTGTGGTATCATCTTTGTATCTAAGGTTATTGATATTTCATCTGGCAATCTTGATTCCAGCTTATGCTTCATCCAGTCCAACATTCCTCATGATGTACTCTGCGTATAAGTTAAATAAGCAGGGTGACAATATACAGCCTTGACGTACTCCTTTCCTAATTTGGAACCAGTCTGTTGTTCCATGTCCAGTTCTGTTACTTCTTTACCTGCATGGACTTCTCAGGAGGAAGTTCAGGTAGTCTGGTATTCCCATCTCTAAAAATTTTCCACAGTTTGTTGTGTTCCACACAATCAAAGGCTTTAGCATAGTCAATAAGACAGAAGTAGATGTTTTTCTGGAACTCTTTTGTTTTTTCAATGATCTAGCAGATGTTGGTGATTTGATCTCTGGTTCCTCTACCTTTTCTAAATCCAGCTTGAATATCTGGAATTTCATGGTTCATGTACTGTTGAAGCCTGGCTTGGAGAATTTTGAGCATTACTTTGCTAGAGTTTGAGATGAGTGCAATTGTGCAGTAGTTTGAACATTCTTTAGCATTGCCTTTCTTTGGGGTTGGAATGAAAACTGACCTTTTCCAGCCCTGTGGCCACTGCTGAGTTTTCCAAATTTGCTGGCATATTGAGTGCAGCACTTTCACAGCATCATCTTTTAGGATTTAAAATAGCTCAACTGGAATTCCATCACCTCCATTAACTTTATTCATAATGATGATTCCTAAGGTCCACTTGTCTTCGCATTCCAGGATGTCTGGCTCTAGGTGAGTGATCACACCATCGTGATTGTCTGGGTCATGAAGATTTTTTTTGTATAGTTCTTCTGTGTATTCTTGCCACCTCTTCTTAATATCTTCTGCTTCTGTTAGGTTCATACCATTTCTGTCCTTTATTGTGCCCATCTTTGCATGAAATGTTTCCTTGGTATCTGTAATTTTCTTGAAGAGATCTCTAGTCTTTCCCATTCTGTTGTTTTCCTCTATTTCTTTGCACTGATCACTGAGCAAGGCTTTCTTATCTCTCCTTGCTATGCTTTGGAACTCTGCATTCAAATGGGCACATCTTTCCTTTTCTCCTTTGCCTTTGACATCTCTTCTTTTCTCAGCTCTTTGTAAGGCCTCCTCAGGCAACCATTTTGCCATTTTGCATTTCTTTTTCTTGGGGATGGTCTTGATCACTGCCTCCTATACAATGTCATGAACCTCCATCCATAGTTCTTCAGGCACTCTATCAAATCGAATCCCTTGAATCTGTTTGTCACTTCTACTGTATAATCATAAGGTATGTGGTTTAGGTCACACCTGAATGGTCTAGTGGTTTGCCCTCTTTCTTTAATTTTTAGTCTGAATTTGGCAATATGGAGTTCATGATCTGAGCCATAGTTAGCTCCTGGTCTTATTTTTGCTGAGTGTATAGAGCTTCTCCATCTTTGGCTGCAAAGAATATAATCTGATTTTGGTATTGGCCATCTGCTGATGTCCATGTATAGATTCCTGGGGTCACACAAAGAGTTGGACATGACTGAGCAATTAACACCTTCACTTTCCCCTGGTATGAAATGGTAGTGTTTGTTCCTTTTTCTTTTTCTTTTTTTGACTGCACCATGGTGCTTACTGGATCTCAGTTCCCTGACCAGGGACTGAACGCAGGCCAAGGTAGTGAAAGCCTAGAATCCTAACCATTGGGCCACTAGGGAACCCCAGTAGTATTTGTTCCTTTTTTATTTATTTTTTTTTTCTGGCTGTTTGAGTGTTTGTTGCAGCATGTGAACTCTCAGTTGCAGCATGTGAGATCTAGCTCCCTGACTAAGGATTCAACCTGGGCCCCTGCATTGGGAACATGGAGTCTTAGCCACTGGATCACCAGGGAAGTCCCAGTATTTGCTCTTTATCATGCCCAATTTTGGCCTACCGTCAGTCCACTCCTGCCTTCTAGGGATACTAGAGTTGGAAGAATTGGTAGAATATTTTGGGTTTTAGGAGGATGGCATTACAACAAGAAGGGCTATCGTAATTCAAAAAGTAGAGGAAATGCAAAGTCTGTGGGAGGAAGTAACCATGAAAAGTATCCAATGATTACTTTCAGAATTTCAGGAGGGCCCTTTGGTGGGGCCAGTAGCAAAGTTCACTGTGGGGCATCTAGCCTTGGATTTCTATTACCTCGATAGTGACCATTATCAGGATCTTGTGTAACCAAGCTATACAGCAGGAAAATAATCAGTGACAAGAACATGATTGAAAGGGGATGTGGTTTTTCTGTTTGGGTTTCTTTGCTATTCCCATCCATGTCACTATTTAACTTTAGTGCCTACTTAAGTATGTAGGTACAGAAGTGACTTGAGCTTGTGCCTTTGAGAGCAGGTCTCTGGGTGTGTCTGTAAATTAGACATGGGGTGATCTTGTTGGCATCACACTGGGAAACACCGGAGGGAAGAAGAGAAGCCCAACAGTGACTTGCTGTAGCTCCTGAATTAGAAGAGAGCCTGTTCCTGATCAGTTACCATGCCTGCCCTCAGCGTGTTCACAGCTGCTCCATGTCCCCTATCAGTCGTTTGTAAGGGATGGTGCTTTTTTATATTTAATTTGATTATTGTCATTGTCATCTTATGTTTTGGCCAAGCTGGGCAGCATATGGGATCTTAGTTCCCTGACCAGTGATTGAACCTGAGCCTCCTTCATTGGCAGTGCAGAGACTTAACTGCTGGACCACTAGGGAAGTCCAAGGGGTGGGGTGCTTTTGAATTAATTTTCTAATTAACGATTTTGATAACACAAGAGTTTAAAGAATGCTGATCTGACCAGATGTTATGATCTCACTGGCTTGATCACACTTTTCATCCAGTGGTTAGAGGCCCTGTCCTTTCTCAGAATCACAGCTTCAGACAGTGTAGCAATATAGAAGTTACTTTTAAATAATTACATGGAGATAGATATTAAGAAAATGATATGTACATTGGGCATAAAGACCAATGGATTTTGGTTAGGCTTATTGAGATATACTTTATAGACAGTTAATTGGTACTTTTAAATATACAGTTTGGCGAGTTTTGACACATGAATATAGTTATATAATTAAGACATAGAAAATTTCTATTACCCCAAAAAGTTCCCTCAGCACAGGAGAAATTTAAAAGGTTGGTAGGGTGTTAAGCATTTTTTTCTTTATTCTCATTTCTTGATAAGGTTTATGTAATACAAGAGACTAACAGGCACAAATCAAACTTAATTTACCGAACTGGGATCAGAGCTTCCACAATATGCAAAGATGCCTTATCCAGAATCATTGTAAAGAAAAAGTCAAAATGTAGGGAAATGACAGTAATTATGGTTTCATTATCTTATTCCTGACACATGTGTTGCAGAAACCAGTACTTGAGAAACCAAGCACCATGCTCAAGAGAGTTGGGAGAACTCAGGTTTACTATGCCAGCGGGCCCAGAGAGTTAACACTCCAGGCTCTGAGCCCTGAACAAAGTGGTTACAGAGATTTTATAGACAGACTGTAGTGGGCAACACTAGCTGTTAATAGGCTGGTTTAAAC